GCTATTGACTCTATACGTATTGAAACAACACCACATCTTGACATTTCTTTCGATGTCAAAGGCGAAGGGCGACTACGTAAACAACCTACTGTGAACTCAAGTATATCGTGATTTGGAATTTGTAAGCTTCTGAATATCCGCATAAATTATAGTGGTGTTTATTGTCAGTTACACGAACTCCCTAAGGTTTTTAATAATCAGGACTAAACAATAGAACAGTAACTGATATTAACCGAGTTCAAAAAACTCTGTAACTCCGTCATGTTCGAACCTATTAAATAATATAATAATAAAATTCTTTATTTGACGAATTAAACCGGTTGGTGATGTAAAAAGCGAGTATGCACTTGCTTTTAAAGAAGGCGTTTTTACTTTCAGTAAAGTTTAGCCGTTTTCCCTTATATCATTGGGAGAGGCCTATGTCCAGCAGTGGACAAGCATAGGCTGAGGTGATGATGATGATGATGAAACGTTTAGCCGTTTATGAAGAATTGTTTTATCATGAATGTGAATACAATAGAAAAAAGTAACTAGGTATTATGAATAAGAAGTATATATATAATCTTATAAAGAACTGACTACTAACAAATTAACTTTCCCTGAAATTGATGTAAGTACGGTTTACATATAACTTCGTAAAGAACTCTTGATTTTCGAGTCAGACTGTCAAATTACGGTTTTTTTATTTAGATTTTTAATTAAGACCTCTACGCGTTGCTAATAAAGAGGTTTTTATGAAGAGACAGACAAACAGGTTTAAACTGCTGGACACTGGCCTCTCCTTAGAAAGGAGGTTTTGGCGGACTATACTACGCTGGCCAGATCTGTTGGTATAGGGTTTATTTCAAGTTTTCCTTCTCTTTGCGGTACTGTTGTCCTTCGTAGTTTGCTTCCTTAGACGGCTCTTACGACACCCACGGGATGAATAGTGTTGGTGAATAGCCATAAAAACATGGAAAAAATTATATGACATGAAAATCCGTAAAATTAAAAGTAAGCTTACTTTTAACACTATTATTTTAAACCTCGTTTCTCAGGAGAGGCTTATGTCCATCAGGGGACTATTAAAGGCTGTTGATGATGATGATTCTAAATTGAACATATTTTTAAATGACAGTCTAATAATAGTTACCAAACTAAGCCTGACTTCAGTTTTGCTAGTCTGAAATAACAATGTCGCTTGCAAACCAGTACTTGTGCAATCCATGGGAAGTAAAAGGAACATTGAATAGTTAGACGACATAGTCTCAATGTAGATAGAAGCAATCTCATAGTAGCGATACTACTTAAATGTAATTATTTAACTGCAGCAACTAGATTAGGGCCTAAGACACCCTTTTTTTTTCCGTGCGGAAATGTGGCATGTCGGACTCGAACCGACTAAAACCGCACGCCGCACGAAAATTAAACAGAATAACAGAACTGCAGAGAGAAGGCAAACTTGACACAAACTCTATACCAACCCGTCCGGCCAGCGTGGTATAGTAGGCCAAAACCTCCTTTCTAAGAAGAGGCCTATGTCCAGCAGTGGACTATTAAAGGCTGTCGATGTCAATGATTTTAAGAAGACAACTCCCACATTAGCAATAAGAAAGAGGGTGGTGACAAAATTAGCAAAGAGGGTGGTGACACTCTGTATTCTTAATCCGTCACCACACGGATAATAAAAATAAATAAAGATAATAAAAAATAATTAATGATATATTATTATAAATTGTGTCACATAAATCAAGCATCATCATCATCAATCAGAAATCATTGATTGTATTTTCAGTGCTGCATACAGTGGGGTATGCAGTACTGAAAATACAATCAATTTAAAAAAACTTTTTCGCAACAGTCTACTTGAAATAGAAATATTGTTCAACAGGATATTTACTAAACAATCTATACGTCAAAATATCTTTTACAATACATTAATTAATACCTGTGGCATAAAGCATCAGCTTTTAGAATAAGCGGACCACCGTACTACAACTAATAAATATAGCATGGCCAGTTTAGATGAGCTCCTGGGATGGTTGGAAAGGATATATTGAAAATGCAGATTGTACGGACGATCTTTTAAGGAGGGTCCGGCTATGCTGGTTGGGGAAGCTGTTAAAATGTGTCGCAGTGAAAGTACGAATTCGGACCTACGATACAAAGTTGCTAGTTGCTAGAGTGCCCTGAAAATATTTTATGGATTTAATAGAACTTTATACTTGTGTTATAATTTTAAAACTTTGTATGGGCGGCAAAATGGTGTGAAAATTGTTTTTCTACTCTTAATGGAGGCGGACCGACTAAAACCACACGGTGTGCCACTCTGCGTCTGTAATAGGAATCTACCCTATTATAATCATACAAATACAAGTTTTAAACTGCTTTCAATGATGAAAATTACATTGACTGCAATTAATAAGTCATTAATAAATTGTTACATACATTACTATTATTTTAACCCCTCTTATTATAATTACCTAAATGCTTGTATTAGAAATGGATTTCCGCCAATAATTAAGATGGTGTGTTATAATACTCGTATTTTGAAGTAAGTGAATCAAAAGTGAAATATTATTTTTACACTTTAATTTTTTTGTAATTTAGAAGCTAAAAACCCGACGGATGTCATAATACCAGTACTCTTGCAATGCCTCAGTAGAACCCTTGCAATGCCTTCAATGTCAACAGTATAAATTCTATTCCTCGCAGTGAAACTCAGACTTATGCTACAAAATGCTTAAAAACTGCCCTGGAAAAAAAAAATCTATCTATTTTTATTACAAAACCACGGAAGAATAAACACCAAACCACACACATTTGACCAATATATACTAGAAAATATATATTTCAAACATAACTACAACTAGAACGAAAACTGTCATTTTATTTATTTATTTATAATTCCTGCAAATACATTGCATAAGGCGGACTTAATGCCATAGGCAGTTCCAGTCAACCTAGGGGTGATGCAGAGATTTGTGTGTGGCAGGTGTATAATGAGATAAATTATTTAAATTGTAGTCGGTTGCAAGATGTTATACTACGCAGATATATGGGGATACATTTATAGATGCAAATAAAATTTATACGTACTATATAATACTATAAATATAAAAAAATATAAACATACACACATACATCCATACATATATGCCTGAATTGATGAACACACGAGGTGTTATTTTGATGACTCCGTCAACAAGTCTCCATAGAGCTTGCGTACTCTGATCTTAAAGGTTGTTCGGTTGGTGGATGTCCTGATCTCTAGGGGAAGGGCGTTCCAAAGATTTACCGTGTGGACAGTGAAGGAAGAATGTACGATACGGGAGTTTGTGAAGGACAAAGAAATAGGAAGTTATCAGCGGAGCGAAGGCTTCTGTCATGGTTGGAGCAGAGATATTGCAAGTGGGATGGTAAGTGAGTAGGTAAGGTAGGTGTGTGGAGAAGGGAGTGCAACATAGTCAGCGCCCGCAAGCTGCGGCGCTGTCTTATAGGTAGCCATGACAATTGCCTGCGATAAGCGGATACATGATCGTACTTTCGCAGGTTGAATATGAACCGAATGCAATTGTTGAGAAGTCGGTCTAATTTATTGAGCAGATCTGCATTCAGGTCGATGTAACACACATCACCATAGTCGATGATTGGGAAAATTAAGGTTTGCACCAGCATCGTTTTTGTTTTCACTGGGAGTAAATTTTTCAGGCAAGTGAAAACTGTAACTGTAACTGAACGAGTTACAAACTATAATATATTAACATTTATTTCATTGAAACTTTCCGTTTTAGGCTTTAGGAATAAATTAACCTTCTGATGCGTTAAAACTGTAACTTTACAGGTGTGAGAAGAGTTTAGAAATAACACATATTTCCAGTGCTGGAACTAGAGGGGTGCCCGAGCGTTCCTAGGCATAGGGCGCAGACCATGGGGAATATAGCAGAAATAACTAACTACTGAATAGGACCAGATGTAAAAAATAATTCTGATGAGTCGCAATTACAGAAACTTGTATCGAGCGCATAAAACCTTAGTTACGACTCAGCACATATTATTGGCAATTGACTGAAAGACAAACGGTGTTTCATTAAAATTGTCCTTAAAATTCATTAAAATGAAGAGTTCTTATAAAGATCTCGATCTATTTAAAGGTAAAATTTCGCCCTGTAAAAGTTCCATGAAAAATGATTTTGTTTCAATTAATACATGTCTTAAAACTAATAAAGTTTTGGTTGTTGATATTCTAAGGAACATAGGAATAAATAGTTCCTTAAGTCTAATAAACTTCAAATCATTTAGACATGTTGTTCATTTAAAATTAAATTTATTTTTTATAAACATGAAATTTAACTAAGGAATACTCTAATATTTCCTTTTTTGAAAACACTCGTTGCTTTTAATAATTAATAACTACTATCATAACAGTAGTTAGTAGGTTCAGTACATATTAGTATTATTATTTTTCAATTCTATTTTTTCTTTTGCAGTAAGTAAGTGAATAATTATAATAATAGTTGATACTTAATTTTATTATTACATTAAAATTAAGGCATTAGCATAAGTGTTTGATAGCACGGATAGCGTAAGCGGTCACCACGCCGCTTCATATTGCGCTGAGTGTTGTGGTTTCGATCCCAACATGGGACAACCCTTTTGTGTCACAAATAGTTGTTCTAAAATTTATTCCTTTCGACAGACTCACATGAAGTTCCGCGGGTTAGCTACATAATATTTAATAAAGTACTATCAAATGTTGTCTGAATACGAAATTTCTTTTTCCATAATTAACTATTATAAAATAAAACAACAGTGACTAAGGATAGAAAAATTTCCATGTGTCCAAACATCTACTTCACCCGCAACATGTATTAAAGTGTCGCAAATACAGCGTTTGAAGTTAAACCCGCCAGACAATAGTGGGGTGTATCGCTCCATATATAAGTGGTTAGTGGTATACACCACTTATCAGTAGCACTTTAACGTTTGTTCAGTAACAGTGCAGTGTTTGTTTTGGCACTATGAAGACTTACGTAAGTCCTCTTGTACTGAAAACCATAACAAATATATGTGGGATAACTTATTACTTTTAATTCGTGGTTGTTGTGTGCGATATGGAGTAATATAGTATTATTAGATTAATTAACCGATTAAATAAATCAATTACTTATTATTTGGGAAATTTAAACACTTGATCGTTATTGTTTAAATGTAATGAAAACCTTAAAAAATATGTAATTTGATATTTGCATTTGATTATTTAATAAAACGTGTCCGTTTATAATCATCTCTGACGCTTTAAGCTTCGTGTGAATGTTTCTTCAGAAATAATTAAAAATCCAACCCAAAAATAATTCAATAATTTAAATGGAATTTTAAGATGCATAAAAGCCTATTGTGTTTATAGTTGCTAATGAGTTAGTATATCAGTAATATAAATAAAACACAAATGAGAACTTTCGGCTGTAAATAATAAAGATTCTAACAATCACTGAAGTAGTGTTTTTATACAATTGTTGTTAAATTGCTGCTCTTTGTAAAACTCCATAAAGACATGAAGAATGTTCAAAATCAAAGTATTTGTTCGTAGACTACTGGAAATACAGAAACTAGATAATGACGACATAAAACCAAGCTTTTAACAATTAATTCACACAATAACTTGCATCCTTTTTTTAAAGAGTTTAATTCAGAGTCAATTAAAACGCTTGATTGAATATCTACTAAAACTATATTTTGTAGATTTGTAAACTAATTAGGATTTTTACCACTTACCTTAAATCTTAATCTACGTAGTATGTGTTCACGAATACTTTTTGTGAAGCCAAGTGCACTTCATGTTCGTTAATTCAGTGTTAGTGTTAGAAATTTTCGAGACACGCTCAAGCTTAAAATACTAGTTCTGTAATATTTCAAAGTTAAATAGGTCACGAAATCCATCCAAGTTTAATATACTTTCTTAGTATTTCGATTTAATAAGACTTCGTTACATTATATTACGACAAAAACTTTATCAGTGATTTTTAGAAAAAAATACTCTAATTCCGTCCAATATTTTTTTATATAATGGGCGACCATTTAAAGTAAATTATTACCAACGAACAACATTGCGTTTTTATTTTTATACATTATATTTATGTATGTTCTAGTCTATTCCATGTGCGAATATTTTATTTATTTCATGCATGAAAAACTTACAAAACATTTGTAAACTGAAACAGATAAATCATCTGAGAAAAAACAGACAATAAGAAACGAAAAAGTAGTAATATGTGTGAAGCTCAAGATTTAGAAATTGCACGTCGATTCAAATATTTAAACACCTTTGTTAAAGAGACGGTTTTCGGCGTGACCGACAGACCTTTATCGAGGGGTGAAGCTATCCGCCGCGTCAGTGTCACGCGACACTCGCAATCCAATAGAAAAAGTAAACAAATGAAACGTATTTCATAGAGATCACTTTTCTTTGATCTTCATTTTGGACAGGCTTGGCTTATGCTGTATGGATTAATATCCATACAGCATAAGCAACCTGAAGGCTAACCAAAGATAATCCTAACGCGCCTTCGTTTTGTTTTGATATGCGTAAAATGTTTGACAGCTTATAATTTACTCTATGGTTTGTATGGGCGTTATATAAAGCATTGTTTATACCACTTTTTTGCAATTTTCATAAGAACCTTCTTTATACCATAACAAAAATTTGAAATTAAAAATTAGCCGAGTTGGTTAAGCCGTTCTCGAGTTTTGCGCTTAGCAACATATATACGTATAAATCTGACCCTACTAAAGTAGTAGATACCTCAAAATAGTACGGCCTGTTACTGTATGTATCATAGTACATACAGTCTACAGTAAATCTAAACCCTTGCACATGATGTAATTCCTATATTGATTCTAGACCTTACATACGAGTAGTATTACGTATATATGTTACGGGTGATTAGATAACGCATGTTTTTATTCTAAACCTTATCCATATCGAGTTGTCGGTAGCTAGGACGAGAACTAATTTCCTGTTGTTTATTGATACGTTAGCCTAATAAAATAGTAAGAAAAACCAAAAAAAAAAAAAAAATATCGTACACCAACATAGATTTTCTTTCAAGTTGAAATGTACAATAGGCACCCTTTTTTTTCCGTGCGGAAATCCCCTCGGATACCACCTATCGGTGGCATGTCGAACTCGAATCGACTAAAACCGCACGCCGTCTCGGGTACTAATATCCGGGGAACCAGATATACCCTAGAAAGGAAGTCCCTGGTGCCCCGACATACCTCGGGCCATCTACAGACGAGTAGACGACCCCCCCCCCCCCCCCGTGGGGTAACCCCATGTTCCCTCTGCTCCCTGGAAGCGAGCGCGCTTCACAACGCGCCCGCCGCAACCCCGGCCTGCTTCTGCTAGGGTGACAGATGGCCTCACCTGTCACCCCCAGGCCTGCGCTTATGGAGGACGGAGGTCGTTCTGCGCCCTCCGGCGCCTGAGTCGCCTACAATCGGCACCCTAGTGACTTAAATTTCTTACAAGTAATATTTTTTAGCATACGAACTATTATATTAAAACAAAGTCGCTGTGGATATTAAATAAAATTAATCTTTTCAAATGAATGTGACTTTTCGAATTGGAGATTAATTAAAATAACAGGCTTTTTAAATATTTTAATTCCCGTTTGTGAAAGAGAAAATGTTGTAGCTTAAACAATTTTTTCGAGATTTAACTCCAATCAGGCAATTAGAAGTACTTAAAGTACCATTATCTCCAGGCAGAGTTTTTCAAGTTAACTAATTTTGTTAGACTGTCTAATACATACTTAATTGTCTATTCAATGAATTATATCAACCTGCTGTACCTACAAGTCAAACTGTCACCGTTCGATAATTGTATTTTAAAAATTAACCAAAACGAGGTACTTGTCCAACAAATACTTATTGTATCAGAAATTTTTTATTTAACTTTCCTGATATGCTAAAATTAAAAGAAAAAAAAGGTTTTAATTTAGTTCTACAAAAATTCACTAGATCACAGAAAATTTATAGCTGTAAGATAGTTTCGTCTAACGAAACGCTATACGAAATTCCGATCTTCAAAAGTTGTAGCTATTTCCGTACATTGACTTTTATATACTAGCAATATTAAACCAAAATCCAACCAGATGGCATTATCTAAAACTAATCGAGCTACAATACTATAGCTAAAACAAAAACGCTTAACAACATGCTAGACTGCTTAACGGTTATAAAACTGTCAGACGTCAACACAGTAAGAATCGTTCATCATGTGCTAATAACCAAAAGATACTCATCTTTTTAACATTCAACAAACGTCACAAATTTCGTTTCTGATGACCCCGCTTGCATGCTGATGATGTCGAAGAAGTTATATCACGCAATGAAGTAAAAGTAATCGGGTGCATTGTGTTCGGTTCGTCCTGTCACTCCGATCGAGTGTCAGGACAATTTTGGCAATGTTATTGTTCCGACTTTTCTTTCTATTTGCATAATTTTCAATGAATAACATGATGTCATTTATTACCGACGGATGCATTAGTTTCACCAACAAAGTATCATTGCTACGCTTTTTAAGGTCCTATCGTGATGACATAAATTGGGCTATCGACTACAATATATTGTTTCTAAAGTAACTAGTAGTCATAAAGATTAGATTGTTAAACCAAAATAAATGCATATTCTTGTGCTTTATTACTTTGCTATACATACAAATGTTGTTATCGGTTTCATAGAGCGGTAGAATATTGGTTAGAGCATTCAACTTGCGATCAAGTAGTAGGAGTTCGAACCCCACTCAGTTCACTACCGACATGAACCCACTCCTCACACTAGGCTTTAGATTAGCTACGAGAATAGGTAAGAACAATAATGTTTATCCAATATTGTTAATATCTTTAAAGAAATTAACTAAGTAGGTGTGACTTGCAAAAGTGTTTTGAAATAAACTTATGGGCGTACTTTACCACAAATTGTCCTATCTATTCGTTTTTCATTCAAATCTTAAGAAATAAGATGTTTCTACTCCAGGTAATTTTGTCTATGAGGTATGTTTATATCTTAAGATTTTTTTTACATTTTATCTATCAAAAACTATGACAGTTAAAAACGTAAGAATTAAGGAGAAATAAAATGCTTGAAACGCTGATTTGCAGTATAAAATATATGTCTCAACTTAGTTAATTCTTCCTAAACGGGGACGAAATAAAGAAAACAGATGATACATTTGTTAATTCGCATAAATTAAAATATAGGAATCACGAAATTAAGTAATATTTGTAATGCTTTTGAATTTCTACTGGCATCAAGAATACTGAATGTTATCTGTTAAATATCAATATTATTGTCTTGTTCTGTGGCAGTTCCAATTAGACGATATTATGAAACGCATTTCCTGCATTTCAGTTATGAGTTCATGAAAAATGTCTTAGCTACTGCGAAAACATCTTCGAAACTAGTATTACAGTAGATATGAACGTTAACAAAGAAAGAAATAACTTTTAAAAGTTGTACAATATGTTGTATGCATAAATTCTCTCTTTTCTTCACTGTGTTTGCATCTACTCGTACTATATTTACAACAAGCCATGGTTAACTGGGAGAGAATGCCTAAAGGTATTAAGTCCAATAAGTGTTCTACTAGTGCACAAAGATAACAAAGAAAGAAATAAAGAAAATAAAATAGTACTACTGACTTCAATGCTTCTACATCATGTACTACTGACTTCATAGTACTACTGACTTCAATGCTTCTACAATTCGTCATGACGAATTGTAATAAACTGTATTCTTTATCCTTCAATTTCCCATCCTTAAGGGCCTTGTCTTGCAACCAAAAGGAAATTATGCCCTCATAAATTAAAAATTGCCACATCGATTCATTAATGACAGAGTACTGAGAAACATACAAAAATACAAGCGAATTGAGAACGTCCTCGTTTCTCGAAGTCAGTTTAAAGCTGAATTATCCTAAAGTCTTTAAACAAAACCACATTAAAGTCGATATATGATGATATTGCTGTATGATTACTTTAAAACCGCAGATAAAATGTAATTAACAATAAACTACTTTAAAAGTTTGTGACGCCCATACTTCTATCTATCTATACTAATATTATAAAAAGGTAAAGTTTGTGAGTTCGTATGTTCGGGGTAATCTCCGATACTACTGATCCGATTTTGAAAATTATTTTACTGTTAAAAAGGTATTTTATCCTTGTGTGCTATAACAGATTTTTACCGCGATAACCGACATACACGCGGGTGGAGCCGTGGGCAAAAGCTAGTACCTCATAAAACTCTTCTTGTGTATTTGAATTAATAAGATAAAACGTTGTCTTTCAGATCATATTACTTTTCGTGGCAGCTTCAGCTCTGGCCGACCCGGAACCGTCTAAAGTTGTCCAGAAGCGAAGCGGGCTCGTTGGCCACTATGGCGTTAGTGCACCTCTTTTAGGCCACAGCGTAGGGCTGGGTCATGGCCTGTCAATTGGCCATGGACATCTTGAAGCGGCTCCATTGTCACTCGGTCATGGCCACATTGGAGGACCTATAGGATACAGCGCAGGATATAGCACAGGACCATACGGCCCAGCGGGAGCTTTTGGCTCAGTTGTATCTGGACCTGTTGGCCCAGCAATTTCTGGGGCCATTGTGGGTGCTAATGTCCATACAACGGTGACCAAGCATGTTGGTGTTCCAGTGCCAGCACCATACCCTGTTGCTGTTGATAGGCCAGTGCCTGTACCTTACAAAGTGAGTTATTATTACATTTGTAAAATATTAGAAACATTTGATTTACACTTTAGCATTTGACTCCGGCTTTTCATGATGTTAAATTTTAACATGAGCGTTGACCGTGATTTAGGTTATGTAAGAGGTTACGAGACTTCAATATCAGGTTGCTTTATTACTTAATCATTTAGTTCCTTTTGTTGGAACTATCTCAGAAAGAAAGAAATAGATTTACGATTTTATTCAACCTCGTGCTGTTCCGGTCCAGTCTTATCGTTAACATGTGAAATATTATAAATATCTTCAAGGATTATGTTGCTCTGAGTTTTTTTTAAATAATTATTAATCTGTGTTCCAGGTTGCTGTGCCAGTCCCTGTAGACCGTCCCTACGCCGTTCCAGTACCCAGGCCGTACCCTGTGACCGTAGAGAAGCACGTCGCCGTACCTGTTGACAGACCTTACCCCGTCCCCGTACCTCATGCTGTGCCTTATCCTGTTATTAAACAAGTAAGTTTATGAAAACCATAAAGTGGGAGATCCAAGTTAGAAAATAAAAGGGTTGAGTAGCAAAAAAAAAGTATGCATAATTAAATACCACTTTTTTGTACAAGTATTGGTCTCGATGGTGACGAAATACGAATTAATTCTGCTATAGGACTTAAAAGTACTTATATGCTATAGCAAAATACTACATTATAAGATAAGTTATTAATATGATAATAAGCCTTAACCTAGTAAAAACGTCTTTGAGGATTTATTGACAATTTGAAAGCAAAGATACCCCATCTCACGACACTACATTATCATTTTAGCCTTTACTATTTTCGCCAGAAATTTGGATTATTGCATTCATTTTAACAATACCTATTCTTCTCAGGTTGGAGTGCCAGTACCTCATCCCTACCCAGTAGCCGTACCAAAACCAGTGGCCGTACCAGTAGCGGTCAAATCAGTTGTCAGTGCACCCCTAGTACATAGCGTTCATTCCCATGGCATACATTCCAAATACGGTTGGTAAACTAAAATGTATACTCATTCTTTCAATGGTAGATTTTATAGTAGTTTGAAAATGGAACATTCTAGAATGTTCTAGAATATTAAGAAACCTGAATTATATCAAGGAATTTCTAGGGAGTTGAACAGCTTGTAATGAAGCTTCTAGCCCTTGAGTAGCCTCAAAAACGTTCTTGACTTTCTTAGCGCGGCGATTATTTTGAGAAATCGGGAAGGTAAATACTATCATTGAAAGATTGAAGAAATCCAGCCAAATGAAATGTTCATATAAAGGCATATTCATAAGGAATTAATGTACGTAGTCGGAACGTATTATGTGATCTAGGTAAGATTAGATTTAGAGTGTGCATGAATTCTCTAAAAGCCTTATAACTGTATCATGAAATCGAATAAAAGATATGAAATATTATCGATGTCACGATTTCGTGATATAAATATAAGTTTAAGTTGTGAAAGATTTTTGGGAATAAAGTGCAATCGTTAAGAAGCCTAGCGCAATTTAAATTTGGTATTTATTCAAAGTGCGTTTTGTCGCTCCGTCCATTATTATTCTGAGCGTAGATAAAAACTTTTTTTTGGAAATGGCTAACTTCGAATAATCATTTATTTAAAATTGTATAATAGCCTGCCATTAAATTTATATATTTTTAAACAGTGTGATATAAAATGATGTGTATATTTTTATTAGTATATTATTATTGAAACATTTTATAGATTTTGGTGTGGTTTTGGTGTGTATAATATACATTCTTGTATTGTATGTTTCCATTTTATTATGAGTTTGTTCATGTTTTTTCGCGTGATCTCTCTCAGTTTTGAGTTGTTTGTATAGAGGCTTCAGAATGTACCTGGTAATGCACAGTTGTATATAGATGATGTTTTTATACTTTTTTAAATATTAGTGACGAACAAAAGTTTATTTCGACCGCAGTCGACTGAAAACTATTTAATATAAGATCTTTTTTAATAAAATGTATATCATATATTTTCGTTTTTGATTTAAAAATACCCCCTCATGTGAAAACTGCAATCATCTGATTCTAGAAATGAGCTGATATAAGTTAACAAAACAAAAAACAAATTAATGAATAAAACTGAGATGATAAAGGTGATTTATGGTAAATTAAATCAATATATCACATAAATATACTCGGAATCAATTAATCACATCAACAGCATTTAACAGTCCACTGCTGGACATAAGCCTCTCCTTAGAAAGGAGGTTTTGGCCTACTATACCACGCTGCGCTGGCTAGACGGGTTGGTCTTTTTGTTTGTGTCAAGTTTTCCTTCTCTCTGCAGTGCTGTTGTTCTGCTTAGTTTTTTTCCCTTAGTCGACTCTTACGACACCCAATGGATGAATAGGGGTGGTGTCACTCTGTCATCAAATAATCAAACACTCTCAATTAAGTGGCAAGTTTCAAAAAAAAATTATCATCAACCATCCGTTAAGGACCTATGATGTCACAGACAGACACAAAAATATAATAGATAGACGCCACCCTGACTACAAAGCTAGAGTTTGTGGTTCAATTCCCACCTAGGATAAATAATTGTGTACGCACGATCATTTCTGCTATGTCTGGTTGCAATTTATTTATAGTTATTTAAAAATATATAAGTATGCTCATCAGCAGTATGGCCACCATAGGACAGGTTCTGCCTAGTTTTGGATCAAATGGACATGTGTAAGATTTGATTATTAATTTCTTTTATTGCCCGTATGAAAATCATTACATTCCCACTAAGCGTTTAGCGTTTAGTTTGGCAGGTGACCGACCAAATAATTAACCAGCCAAAACCCCATGCAATGTTAAAAATTGCAGCAACCCCAAATTTAAATTGAGAATAGGGCTACATGATAACAAAACAACATGAGCTGGGCCCCAATTCTACTATTTTAATATTGTATTAATAGACTGTCGTCGAATAGTCTTGCACTTTTCGTATTCTACTAACTATATAAGACCAATGGCTTATCAATGGATGACATCACTGCCACTGATACAAATGTCACATGTAAACGGCAGATTTTAAATTTGTTAGTAAATTATATATTTAATTTTCCAGATATGGCAATGTTGTTAATATTACCATTGACGAGCGATTGCCACTACATCGACAGTCTATTGACACTGTGAATTTATGTTAGTAGAATACCGATATTTTGACCGATATCAATGGCATCTCAATAGCGTGTCAATGGAATGACAGAGACTGTAAGTTAGCATAAAATAGCAGAATTAAGGCCCAGGTGGTTAACAATAGATCAGTTATTGATAAGACTTCATAATTAATAGCACATATTTTAATTTTACTGTCTTTCTGTAGTAGATAATCTGTTCTGCGTTCTTGATCGTACTTGATCGATGAGAACGAGAACGGGACGTGGGTATCCCTTCTAGAATTTTCTGAATCGGTGCATAAATGAGGTGAATGTTTGAGGTAACAAATACAAAAACAATACAGTCACAGACGACAAAACGCGATTACAGTTTGCGCTTCTTCCACATTCATTTGACTTTTTAAACACCCTTGCCAGTTATGGGTGTAAAGAGGTCCTATTTCAGTATACTGCCGAACAAGTCAGTATAAATATATCTTTCAGGGCCTACCTGCACCAACTCGCCCACTCACAGAGGCTAAAAATATTTATACTCCCCAATTCTTGTAAAAATGCGAAGAAGAAGTAAAGGCATGCGCCTTTACTTGTTCTTCTTCCTTTCAATTACCCTCTAATTTGCCAATATTCTTTTGCTAAAGTTACAAATTATAATTAACAAAACGACAATGTTTAATACACTTTTGCCTAACGAATACAGGCGTATGAAAACATGTATGTATGTACAACACACACACAAAGAGACTTTTCTCCCTTATATCCTACTAAAGCATTACAACTACTAAACTAACCTGCCAATCCACTCATGATTTAACCACGGTGTTATGATGTAATACGCCGTAATCCGTGCTATTTCTATGGCATGTGTTATCAGCCACCTGGCAGCGAGTATTCGACTCACGTCCTGTTCCTATAGAAAGTGCGACTCTGTTAAAGGTAAGGAGTTCCCATATTATGTAATTAACTGGGCATGTAGACGCCGGATGTCTTCGATCGTAGAGTACAGAAGCTTTATAAATACAGAGAGGAATTATTAAGATTTGCGTAACATGTACTTTTTGGGGGTGAAATGACGTACCGGATATTTTTTCCATTATTTAGTGTTAACTAAGTCATCTCTTGCCATTACAGTAATTATTTAGTAAAAGAAATAATATCTAACCCACTGATTTAAGTTTGTATTCCTACGTAGAAGAACACTTATTTAAAAAACAGTTTTTTTAGTTTAAGGCAACAACAGTTTTAGACATAGTAAAAAAACATTTTGTAACAACAAATAATAGTGATTGATTATCATTATGATAGTATCTAGTAAAATATACAAGATAAATAATAAAGTAAGAAAAAATCATACAACATGAAAAGTCTCGGAACGGAATAGCTTAGAAATAAATTTATTTTGCTTCACTTCAAATCTCTTTGTCCACCAGCTTAGGCTTAGTGTAACCCATAAATTGGTCCTCCTTCTTCGACTAGTAGGTAAATATCAATTACGTGTGGTAATCATATATATCTACAGTTTCTGGAAAACCAGGTCAATCCTACAAACAGGCCAGATTGAGTCAACAAAAGGACAAAATTACATAAGAGTTCGTGATCGTAGCGATCGCGGAACCCACCGATGCATTACGCAATAGGAAAGGTTGCGCTACAATGAGGTTCTGGGCCAATAGGAACTGGTCAATGGCTAATGGTATAGAGTCTTGATAATAAGTATGGTTAAAGATGCATATGTGACTGTCAGCTGACCAATGTTTGTCACTATATGTGTCACCAATGTTGTTGTTGTTTGTTCCGTGGAAACATTGGCGCTTTCAGTTAAAATTTATAGAACCAATTTTTTTCAAACCATTATTTTTAAAAGAAACTTTTGAATTAAAGATTTCTTATGAATTTATATGAAAATGATGATAATAAAAAACCTACAATAGTAGTAATTAACCACGTGAAAGAACGTGTAGACTGTATATATATTTAACAAATAATAGATAGCCCAAACATCTCCGATCGGCTCGATCCATTGGCGTTACGTAGAGATGTGGCTTCACTCTGCATTCTTTATCGCATATATCATGTAGATTGCTCCGAGGAGTTGATCTGACTAATACATCGTTCCACAAGGCAAAATTTTCATCACCATCACCTGGATAGTTGGCGCTGATACTTTTTGCCTCGCACAAGCAATCTGTGTAACGGGTAATCGTCTGCGGTATTTCCGGACCTATTAGACCTTCAAAACCTCAAGAAACGCGTTTGTGACTCCTGAGTTGCAGACGTTCATGGGTGGCAATGGTCACTTTCCATCAGGTGACCCGTCTGCTCGTCTGCCCCTTCTAACATGAAAAAAAAAATCCAATAATATGTGATTACATTTATCCTTATAATAGGTAGGAATAAGCTGATGACCTTCAAAAGGCTATACAGATTTTATAACTTATAACTGTGAACACTTCCGATCAAGTCACACTTTATAACAAAATAAAATACCGTATCCGAATCAGTTAATCTGAAAATAAGATTCCGATGCCGCAGACAGCTCTTGTTATTTGCGCCAGGGGTTGAAAATAGTGTTAATGTATATTCTATGACGTAGAAAATACATTTATATTATGTTTAAGAAAGAGAAATAGTAGAGACCATTTCAGTTTAGTATAGTTGTTTACCATGTATTTGCTGAGAGAAGTTGACTTAGCTGCTACAAGAGCCCTCTATGTTACAATCAATGAACTGAGTATTGGACATAAGGTAACTTAAGGTTATGTAATCGTATCCTTACATTCACGATATATAAAATCAGTAGCGATATGAAAGTAAGTTCTAATTTTCTATACGACCAGTAGATGTCGCCACACCAAAGACAAATAGCGAACTTACTGAAATAT